CTAGCGCTCGCTCAGAGACCGCTGAGTCGGTCGCGCCCTCTGCCGGGGACTCTGGAGTCAGGTGAGAATTTGGAACTTGAGACATCCCTGTGTTAAAGGAAACAGTAATTCAGTTTTGGGGGAAAGACCGAAGAAAACGTTTTGTGAAAATGCTGCCAGCATTATCTGAGACTAGCAAACACCTGGGAGCAATCTGAATGCTCCAGGAAACAGTCAGCTACATGACAACATTACATAAAACGACAGTAGCGGTGGGGCACAGCCCCACAGTCCTAAAGGACTCGGAAAATGCTTGTCACAATGTCACTTGAAGGAAGAAAGACCGGGAACTGCAGACATTCTGCTGTCCGGCAACAGAAAACGATGGCCCTTCCCGGAGGCCAGCAGGTCAAGCGCAGCGCTGTGAGGCTCAGCGCTGAGTTCAGCCCCCAGAGCGGCCGGGGCGCGGCAGAAACCCCCCCCCTCCCCGCTCCCCTCAGCAGTGGACTTCAGAGACCTGCCTGATCTGCTCCCACCCTGTCTCTGGTGAAGCCTCTCGCCACCCCGGCACCCCTGGCCTGTGCCCCAGTTCCGTATGAAATAAGTAAATCTTTAAAAAATAAAAAGTATTAGCAAATTAACATACTGTGTGTGTAGAATAAAATGGAGAAGTTACTTTGATTTCTGTGGATGCCACGCAACAGTGAAAGCAGAGGCTCTAGCGAAGCCCAGTATGTGGATCATACTGTTGTTGAGTGAAAGTCAAGATATAAAACGAGCATAATGTGACTGATTTAAATGCCAGGCAAAGTTTAAATCAAGTATACACTTAGGCGCTGGGGAAGGCGGGTCCCTGCGGGAATGACTTTGCCAAGCCCCCAGCCCCCTGGGGGTCGGGAACGTTGGTTAACATCTGAACACAACCACCATGACTTTTCAGGTTTAATTTAGGAGGAAACTTGGTTGACATCAATTCCAGAAGTTCACAACTTGAGGCTAAGGTGCTGATTAAGGGAACGCGGCTACTGGTTTAATGTAAATGAAGTTTTCTAAGGCTAAAAGCAGTCCAGTCTCTTAAAGAAAAATATAGCTGACCTAGCCCTCGTGTTTAGCAGGGTAAGGGCACTTCAGCGCAACGGTCAGAGGAAGCTGTGAGGGTCAGAAAGAAGCACCATGATCTTTTGTGACGTGAAAGACGCGGTCACTGGCGTGCTCGTGCGAGTAAGGCGAGGACGGTGGCGGGGCTGCAGTGCGGAGGCGGGGCTCAGTCGTCGTCCCCGCCACAGAGCAGCAGGAGGGTCTTCTTATAGTCCCCAGAAGTATCACCCTGAGACCGAAGGTGCCCGTCAGCCTCCCGCCTCACAAAAGTGGACAGCGAAAGGCTAAGCTCTGCCCGGGACACGTCGCCCGGGGACACGTCGCCCGGGGACACGTCGCCCGGGGACTCGCCCCGGGGGACACGTCGGCCCATCGCTGCAGGACCAACGCCTCGGGAATGTC